CTCCCTACAATACATTCTCCAATTTTGTCTACGTTGCCACAAAAAACACGCTCCAAAAGAAAGAATGTTAATACACCTAAAATAGTAACAAAAAAGGTAAAGAAATATGTAAGAAAACCATTAGAATTTAAATGGAAATTCGGCAGATTTCAACAATAATAGAAGTAGCAATAATAGAAGAACCTCATTTCAGCAGACCATGTGGCACTAAATCCCCTCTCGATTATTTTTAATTTTTTTTTTCTCCGGATATTATAGAGCTTATTTTAGAACAATTGAATTTATATTCCGTTCAGTGTGGCCTAACAAAATGCATAAATTTAACAAAATCAAATGATATTTGTGACTTTCTGGCTATCACAATTCTAATGGGTGTTGTACAAATGCCGTCCTATAGGGATTATTGGAGTAGAAGTCTGAGGTACCATCCCACAGCTGATATTATGTCCCTCAAAAAATATAATATGAACATATTAGAAGACTCCTGCATTTTGTAGATAATAATGACATTAATGATGATCGCTATGTTGAGGTCCGTCCATAATTGAGTCCTATTATAAGACGAAACTACTTATTACTTTAAAAAACCCAAGAAATGGGGTTTTAAAATGTTCGTGAGGGCAGGGGTATAAGGATTGGTCTACGATTTTATACCGTACGCAGGTGACGATACATTCACAGATCACGAAAACAGCTTTGGTATAGGAGCTAAAGTGGGTCTGGCTCTTGCTAAAACAATAAAGAAAAGACCCTCAATTTTATTTTTTGATAACTTTTTTTTACGTCTCTCGAATTGATAAATTTTTTTATGTTAAGAGTACGGTTTGTACAGTTTGGGTACAATCAGAAGTAATAAATAGGCTATGACAGTGTGAGGACAAATTGCCCACGGACAAAGTATTGACTAAAAGAGAAAGGGGTTCAAGTGAACGGGTTGTTTGCAAAAATAAAATAGCTGTTGTAAAAAGGCTCGATAATAAGGTTGTCACTATTGCCAGTTCTTTCATAGACCCTCATGCGTTGGATAAAATAAAACGATATTCAAAAGAAAGGAAATGCAGGCTGGAAGTCGATTGTCCGCCGATTATTAGACAATACAACATGCACATGGGAGGTATCGACCTTGCTGACATGCTGATTGCGATATATCGCAGTTTTTTTAAAACCAAAAGGTGGTATGGCAATATTTTCACAGACTCTAGACGTATGCATTAATAATGCACGGTCGTTATATAAAAGAGATCAGATGCAGGTGGGCAATAAATTTATGCCATTAAAAAATATTTAGGTTCAAATTTACACAGAGTTATTGAGGAAAATTAGAGTTTCAAAAGAAAATACAGACAAGGTAAATGACGCTGCAAAACGTGTACAAACCCCAGATACTGCCAAACCCCCCGATTCTGTAAGATACGACAACACTCGTCATTTACCAGTGTTCGTAGCGTAGGGCAGGTGGAAATGTTGCAAAAATGGCTTCATAAATATCAATTGTAACAAGTGTCTCATGAGGCTGTGTTTAGTTACAAAGAGAAATTGTTTTTTAACTTTCATGTCAATTAATAAAGTTCTTTTAAATTTGTATGGTTTCATGTCAATTAAGAATTACTCATAAACGTATAATGTTGAGTACACTTAACGTTTCTATAATTCTTGAATGTGTCGTAACGTTTAGTATATTCAACTTCTGATGTCTAAAAATCTAGTAATTGATAATTTTTTATATTATTTTCATACACATACGAGTACGTATCACATATGTAACTCATAAATATTAAAAAAACACAAATATTATTAAAAAATATTTTGCCCGTTAAAGGGTTAATGTATATATTTATATGTAAATATTTTTACTTACCTTCATATACAAAATACAAATACTTAGTTTCGTATGATATTGCATGCCTATTTTTAATCCCTATTGATTCGTAAAGTATATGTTCCAATAAAAAGATGTATCAAGATTGTTTACATTTAGTTAAGTACCGAAACAAATGGACTATTATAGAGGAATCAACCTTTTATTCATAATTTAGAATCAATATTTTATTTAGAATTATCCTCTAAAAAGTGGGATTGTCATTTTTATGTAGATTCGTGCACTTCAGTTATTGAACCTAAGAAGTGTACAATTTTGAATTTGTTATAACAACAGTAAACAAAAAACATATTTATAAATTATAATAACTATTGAAGATGGAAACAATACATACCTGTACATTTAAGTAACCTAACCCAACAACCATGTAGATCAAGTTATTGAAATCATATTAAGTTCTACGTAAATGGTTAGAAATTAGATAAGTTGTGACGATGTGACCTCCTTTCTCTGGTTCCTGGGAGCCTACCACAACCTCTTAAAACAATATAACTTTAAGGACGCGTTCCCACTATGTCGTGACGACAGATTGTCGTGCAGTTTACAGTGTCGTGGTTTGAATATTTAAATGAAGTTGTTCACATATGGCACGACACGATTAACTGTCGTTCACGATTTTTTATCGTTACAACGACAAACTGTCGTTATAGTGGGAGCAGCTAGAACGACAGTCGTCGGACGATAAAAAAAGACACGATAAAAACGTGACGATAGGTTGTCGCAGCTCCTATTGTCGTCACGTTTTATTTATTGCTGTCCGCACGTATTCTGCTCCCTCCCTCCTCCCCTCCCATCCCTCTGGTACCCCGCGCCCTCTGCTCGCTTTGCAGTAGCGTTGGGTCGTAGCCAGAGATGGGCAAGCGCCCGGGTTTTAACCCGGCGCTTAGTTAACGCCGGGTTTAAATCGGGTTAAAACTCGAAATCGAAGGCAAACATCAGTTACGTCTAAATATTTGTTGTGAATTGAGTTTTGTTCAAATTTAATTATACATTGTGTTTTCTTTTGTAATGTGCTCTGCAAGTCGTGTTAATAGACTATTAAATGTGGAAATTGTTATTCTTGAATAGTCCCAAAATTTTCTATCATCATTTTTCAGTTCATCAATAAACATTTGACATAACCCTAATGGAATTCATTTTAGTAGCATTGAATGTACCCAAAACTTTCTTTTCTTTGTTTGCTTCCTCTTCCGCATTTCTAAAAAGTAATACATTATTAAAATTTCGTCTTCATCCATTTCGAGCGAACACACATTTCCAAAAGAACATACAAGCGATTGCAGTGCATCAAACGATTCCGTCGTGCAAACGACAAGGAGGCTGTCGTGAAACGATAAATTGTCGTCACGATCTAGTGGGAACAGCTAGTCACGACAGTCGTTCAACGTTAAAAAGTCGTCCACGACAGATAGTCGTGATATGGGAGCAGGCTAGACACGACAGTCGTCCAACGATAATAAAACGTGACGACATAGTGGGAACGCGCCCTAACCTTACATTGACTTTTCGTACCATGACGCGCTTAAGGTTAACTTATTATAATGTTAAAACTATAATGTTTTACATCTATATGCTCCTTAGCGACACTAGCAGTAAACACTAGACTATAATTCCGAATTCACAACGTAACTATCAAGACTCAGCTTTTTTATTTATTTTTCTTTTTCTTCACGAAAATGCGGAAAAATAATTGAAAACAACGTAATTTTAATAGATTTTATTATTGCCTACTTTTCTTTTTTTTACAGTTAAAATTCTCTGAATATAAATAACATTTTAAGTACGTAAATATTATACTACGATAAGACGATTCGGAACATCAAAAAAGAAAGAGATGGCATTATATAGTTCATATAGCGTTATTTCTTTCCTATTTTAGTAAGGAATAGACAATATTGGGAAATCATTCGTTCTTTCAGTCACTTTAGCAATAATACATTACTTGGTTGACAGGTTTGTCTTGGTACGAATATGAGTAATATTACAATAATAAGCTTACTTTAAGGACTATCCACACACATCAGGGCCGTGACCGGGACCTGGACGGGGCGTGCTAGTTTGTATGAACTGCAGGCCCGTCCCGGCGCCGGCCCGGACACGGACCGGTGTGAACAAGTTCATACAAAATGTACGCAACGATTTTTTTTTGAGCTCCTGACGGAGGACGTCCCGGGCACGGCCCGGATATGTGTAGATAGACCCTTAAATTGAAATAAGATTGTTTTTGAAAATGTTAAGGGCCACTTGTTTTTAAATTTTGAGTCGTTCTTTAATTTCTTTGCCTCGTCATTCTCACTTTGCTTCGTTCCGTCGTCACTCCCTGCTGAAACGTCAAAGCGAGCACGTCTTTTCTTCAAATTTGATCCGTTTACCAGTTACCAAAAATCTATTGTGCGATAAACATTTAAAAGATCACAATTTTTATCACAATATTTTATCAAACCGGATTTATTTCCACTATTTCTTTTCCCTTTGATTTTTGAACTTTAAACTCTCTAAGCAAGATGTGTGGGGGCTGCAGAGGCTGCGGAGGCTACTACACTCTCCAGGCTACATTACAATCAACAGGACATGCTTAAGTGGTGTCAGCAGTGCGTGACACGCGTTTCAAAGTTAACCCTGATGATTAACCGACATACTCTCAAAAGTAATCACACTAAGAGTCGTATTCTAAAATTCTACTCAATGCTCAAGTCAGGGTTTGAGTATGGTTTAAAGCACTCGAAATCATACTCAAGTCATTGGAAATCATACTCAAGTCACTGCCATTAGGGTTGTATTTCCAGTGCTTGTGTTTCCAGTGCAATCCTGACTTGAGCATTGAGTAGAGTTCTAGAATACGACCCTAAGAAATGGATACTAGATTCGGGGACAAAAAAAATTCTCACTAAATTTTAGATTAATGGATGATTTTTTATGTAAATTTTAGAGTTTAAAAACAAAATAAAACTCGGCATGTTTTATTGGTTATATTTACGGAGACATCTACAAATATAAAAAACACAGAACGATAAAAGTACATTGAGGTGGTTTAAAATATTTTTTTTAATTAATAATTAAACATTTTCTTTCATTCTCGATACGTAATTCTCAATAATCAAGTGAGAAAATCGCTGAACACACCGGCGAATAATTGCTGGTCTCTTACTTTCAGGATGAAAAAAAACGGATGATCTGCAGTGAATTCGACTATATTGACAGGACCCGTTGCTGTCAGAAGTGTCGTTGCTGGAACGTCAAAAGTGATGCAAATATATTCAAATGCCTCGGATATAAGTTAGGGTCAGTTGGGGTAAGAGGAACACAGAGGGAAGAGGGAATTGAAGCTTAACTCACAATATAAAAAAAATTAAGCACTATTGTCTCTCAGTTGATAAAACAGACGAATTAGTTTATACAATTTTTAAAGAGATGTCGCTATGGTGCTCTAAATACAAAAGGTGGAAAAATATATTTGACATTATTGTGAAATCTTGAGAAAACGACCTATAACTTTTTAAGAAATACGATTATTGTATCTCTTATTTTTATTACCCCATCTTTTGGATAAAGATTTACACGTTAGCACAATTTTCAGCAAATACATCTTAAGTATTGATTGAATATTTAGCGTAATGATTTCTAAAGTATGGAGTATCAATTTCAGATAAACTTTAGTACTTTTTTTAAATTTATTTATCTTTTACAACGTAATATACAACAATGTTTCTAGTCGCATTTTAAACCAATAAGGTTCGTAGTAATGTGAACTGTAGCCACACAATGCATATGTTCAATTTGCTAACAAAAAAATTTTGCTAATATTTTAGTAGGTGGCTGTTCACGCATGAAGATTCATTTTTATAAATAGCGCCTGACTTTAATTTAGGAGCAATTACTTTTAGCAATTATTTAGTTGATTTTGCTATTTCTCCAATTTAAGGCGTTTTCCTCTCGAAATACTTTGAGTAGTGTCGTAGTGAGAACCTATTTTTATTATCTCCAGTGTCAAGTCCTGTATAGTGGCGAACTATTACGAATATTTCAATGAAACTTGGCAAATAGACGTAATTCCACGTACTTTTGAGGTCGGTTTTTTAGTACTCTGTACTGAGATTATGTTAATTCTAGCGGTAACTGGTTTATTAGTCGGGGATTAAGGTAGAAGTTCTTTCGCCGCACACATTATTCGCGCGACTCGACCACAACCGGTTGTTAGCCATCACTCGCGTACACACAGGGTGATTTATCACTTGTTTAAGATCATTGTTAAAGAAGAGCGTTTTTAAAAACATGTAGGTACTTGAATTGGTCACTAACAGGTAAGATTCTGCGATGTTTAAAAATGTCATGATCTCTCAATTGGCGTTGAATTTTACTTGACACAATGTGTTTTAGAATGTTTACTTGAAGGTTATATATTTTATTTAAGTACGTGTTCTATGTACGACCATAACTACATAAACCATACAGAATATACGATTCGGTAAGCGAGTTGTAAAGCATTAGTTTAACTTTGAAGGGAATTGTTTTCTTTAATATTATAATAATAGGGGTTAAAGTATGAAATTGCCGATTTGTACTGAAAATCTAAATTGTTTATTTTTTAAATTTTTAACATATTTATTTAATCAAAATAGTTGCCATTATTATCTATACATTGCTGCCATCTAATGGGAAGGTTATTAATGCCTTTGCGATAGAACTCCGACGATCTAGACTGCACAAACTGTGTGAAAGCATTTTGTACTGCCTCCTGGGAAGAAAACTTCTTGTCACGTAGATAATTGTCCAAATCACGAAAAAAATGGTAGTCCGTTGGAGCAAGGTCTGGTGAATACGGAGGATGACGAATGGTTTCTAACTGCAGTTCCTGAAGGGTCAAAATGGTTTCTCGTGCTGTGTGAGGTCTCGCGTTGTCGTGGAGCAATAATGGTGAAGATCGATTCATGAGTCGGGGCTGTTTTACTGCTAGTTTTGTCAACATGGTTCGGAGTTCGGCACAATAGACATCTGCCGTTATTGCTTGACCAGATCGGAGAAAACTATAGTGAATAACACCATGCTGAGACCACCAAACAGTTACCATTACCTTTTTATTGGTAAGTTTTGCTTTAGGACACTGTTGTGGCATTTGACCTGGGGTCCGCCATTGCATTTTTCTTTTCCGGTTATCATAAAGAATCCACTTTTCATCACATGTTACAATTCGATCCAATATTCCTTCATTTCTGTACCGGTTCAACAAGGCAACACAAGTTTCAACACGCGTTTCTTTCTGCAGATCAGTCAAATCATGAGGCACCCATTTTTCGTATTTTTTTATTTTATTGATTTGACGCAAGTGAGTCAATATTGTGGGTAAGGTAACGTTAAACCATGCCGCTAATTCCTGGGTAGTTTGACTAGGATCGGCTTCCACTATCTCTCTTAATTCATCGTTATTCACCTGTGTGGGCGGTCTTCCTCGTGGCTCGTTCTTTAAGTCGAAATTTCCATCACGAAAGCGTTTAAACCAAAATCGCACGGTGCGTTCATTAGTAGACCCCTCTCCAAACGCAGCATTGATATTGCGGGCTGTTTCTGCCGCGTTAGTTCCGCGTCGGAACTCGTATTCAAAAATCACTCGAATTTTCGCAGTATCCATCTTTCTTGTCTAAATTGAATAACAAAAACAATTGAAATTCGATATTCAAATGTTTCAAATTAAAAAAAAAAAATCACAGAAACCATTTGAAAAAAGTTTCATTCGAAAACCTCAAACCATGAAGATTCTATGAAAATTCAAAGAACCTATTGCAATAAAACGGCAATTTCATACTTTAACCCCTAATATTTGCTGAAAATTGTCTCAGTTTATTACAGATGAGTTCTATATGGTCTCTATAGAATATATACACTCGTATATTCCAATATATCGCACTGTTAATACAATAGTGTATTAACTCAAAAAGTGTATTTTTTCAGAATCGCTGAAAAACTAATTACATCTAAATAATTCCCTACTTGCCAAATAAAAGGAAAAAATAACTTAATATTTTTTAGAAATTTATTTACTAAGACTGTTTTATCCAGAACTAGTCCGCAAAAAGTTTGCCTCATTTTGAGTTAGATAGATTGATTTTAATTGTTTCTGACAATATTTTGACGAAGGTTTTATTGACGTGTAGAGAATCAAATATTACGTTCAGCAATAGTATAACCTTGAATTTCATTTATTTTGAGTTACAACACTATTGTAATAGCATTGCGATATATATGCCATATGCTCCAATTAAATTTATGATCTATTTAAAACTGCAGATGACGGCACTTGAATGAAAATTAGAGGTGTATCATATTAAATAAGATATACAAAATAATGTAAAAATGCATTTTACGTAGTGTGATTAAAATTAATTTACAATTACGATAAGTGGTGAAAACAGTAAATTGTCGTTGAACACATGACAAATCGAAGGTTTTTCAATAGTATACTTTTTAATTTGTTAGTTTGTAATAAACTGTCTAGATGGCATTTCTTTGAATTTAGTCTCGAAACTAAGTAACTTTTGGCAGTAAATTAAAAGTACAGATTCAGTTTCTTTGCGTGTTTATTATATTTTATTGTCTATGAACGCCTGAACATGAGCAACAATGGCCTTGACGAAAATGTGGTCAGCCACCATCTATTGGCTTTTTCGAATATTATTACAATCGCATCGCGGGTTAGCTTGCTACCATCTCGATACGTCCAATGAAAGTTGTTATTAACTACAAAATAGTATTTTTTTACTTTTTAACTTAAATGTATACTTATTCATGTATATTATAGGTTCCATGTTTAAAAGTAAACGGAACTTTAAGCTTTATTGAACAGCGTTAAGAATCAAAATAAGAGTCCGAATAAGGGACACGATATTTGACATTTCTTTGTATGAGGCTGGGTGTCTGTACAAGTATAGTATTATATTTTCTGTGGTTGATAAACAAAGAAAAACGTGCCTATACAGGCTGCTCTAATTTGACACAAAACTATCAATTATCTAATATAAATGTAAACTAGTTAGTAAATTGAGAGCTTACCCGTAGCCGCCGCCGCCAAAGTCCCGTTCTCGTCGACCTGTATTATGGCGGCTTGCACTGCCTTCGAAATGAATAACTCCGTACCTTCGACAATATTCTTGAAACCTTTTTTGTACATTGAATAAAGGCCAATCTGTGAATATATTGTTTATTTTTAACAAGACTTACCTGTATATATTGATGGTGTATTAATTGTGCGGACGAACAGTTTTTCAAATACGCCTGTAATTTCACTAGAACCCTTAGCGCCCTGTTACACGACGCGAAAGTTTTCGCCATGCGGTGGCCCAGTTATCTATCACGCTTTCACGTACATTAATGGCGAATATGAGTTTTATTTAATAGGCAACAACATTTAAATTCCTCGGAATAATAAAACCGCGCGGTCGTGGTAGCCACGCGGCTGCCTCGTAACTATACGCCTATAGTTAGTCTATAGTTAAGCTACACGCCTACCCATGACAGTTGCAGTGTCGCTCCGAACTTTAAATCGGGGACCGTCACCCTGAGACATAAGTTAACAAGTCCCATGTGCCTGTAATTTCAACAGCACCCTTACCCTTCAAAAACGGAACACAGTAATGCTGACATTACTACTTGGCGGCTAAAATAGGAAAGGTGGCAGCACTTCATTGGACGAACTCATTCACACGGAACTAGAGGTGGGTGATAAATATCGTCACGATGAAAAAATCACGATGATCCGCCGCCAAACAGTATCACCGTGACTCGTTGCGAAGGAACGACGTTCCAAAGTCACATAGGTGTTCCAATCCGTTCCAATAGCTATCCCCGTCACTCACATCACGACATACGTATTTGATACAATGCGCGATCTCCGTTTCGTGGTGACTGAGCGCGCCACTCGTTATAGTTCTTTTCAAATCGGGCCATTTCGGCGATGAGAGTGAGTGAGATAGGATGACTTTCTTTGCTCACTCACAAGGGTAGAAGGTGCTTATTACTACTAGAAAGGGCAGATGAAAAAAATCTGCAGCAGTTACTATAAACCTATTTAATGACAAAGTAAAATATTTTTGTATATTTGTTTTATTATGGGAAGAGTTGATACTTTATATTTATATATAATCTACTTTGTGTATTCTACTAGAAATATAATTACATTATTCTTTATTGCTATTTTTAACAGTCCAAAGATTCGCAGTAAATAAGTAACAAACAAAATTATATTAAATACAAAATCAACTTTTTGAATGGAATTGAAATTTATTACAAAGGGAGTAAAAACTTAAATTATTCTATAAAAAAAACGGTTATAAGTATTAGAAAGAAGCCGTTGGCTAAAACCGTATATAGTGATGTAAGTTATAGGCGTGACAAGGTCACGGAAGTAACAGTTGTGACAAAATCACGGTGATTTATCAACGTGATTTTTTGGAACCGAAACGACAGTCACGGCGATAGAAATGTAACGCTATTCCCCATGTCTACACGGAACCCTACTGCTACGTAGATCTAGATAAGTAAAAATTGACTTACGTTTTTATATTCCTCATTAAGGTCCAATTTACTTTCAATAGTAAACTTGGGTATCGTAAGAGAAACTTTTCTATATGTCATTTTCTTTATTGCATCCTTGAGTAGATCTGGAGCCACTTTAAGTGCCTTTAGGAGCAATAGCAGAGAAGTTGTGTCTTTGGATTTGGGGAGAGCTATAACCAGAGACGATTTACTACGTAGATTGTATGGAATTTCGACTATCTGTAATAAAAATAGCTCGCTAAGAACGTAATTAGATCATTCTCGGGTTAAGGCGGATTTCCAGGGCTCGTGATTCACAGGCTGCGCTGATTTGTACGGGCGTGCTCGCGCCATGGGCCCATAAGTATGGGCTCTTCCTACGGCGCGTTGGCGACTACGTTGGGGCCAACATTGGAGCTTGTGTGGCGCGGCCCGTGACACCACGGACCGTGGGAAGCCAGCATTAGTATTCACTGCCTAATCTTCGTGGCAATTAAACTAAAACTAAACCAAACTGCCTCCGTGGCCGAAAAGTCATCATCCAGGACTGAGACCCCGGGCCGGGAGAAATATTTGTATGGTCTACACTTATTTCTCTCGTGTTTGGTTGTAATTTGTGGTTGTCTATGTGTGTGTCCATGGCATCTGCGATTCAGGGATACCGACTAATTAAATTACAAAAAATATCACTAAAAGTGATTAGAAAACCCATTGACTTACAAATAAATGGACGACGGGTCTAATACAAAAACCACGAAAAAAATGTCCCAAGTCAACCTATTTAAACGTAGTGACATGTAAAGGAATATGAAAAGGCTAAAACGTTGAATTTAAATTGTAATGTCATCGCAGTACTGTCTAATTTTGCTTGCTTCGCTGTCAGTTGAACAAACGAAGACTAAAGCGTGAACGAAGCTCTGTATACGATTTTAACGCCCTATAAGTTCGGACACTTTTTAGCGCGGACCCGACGTCCATATAATTGTAAGTCAATGAGAAAACCCGATTGAGTTATAGTCGGGTTTTTAGTTTGAAATAAAATGTTTTTTAGTATGTCTGGAAAAATAATACTATAACAAACCTACTATATGTATTAGACGGCCTTAAGCCAGATTGTTCACTTTTAGTTCCCTAAGAATCCGCTAGATGGCATTGACCCATTTGGCGTTATTTCTGAATCGCGGTGTTAAGATTTTCCCTCGAATGGTGACACTCTAATATGGAGAGAAATCTGAGAATACCGAGAGCTCAGTAAGGCTAGTTAGGAGTTGAGCCCCTTCTTGGGAACTGCTACCTGGACCTTCTGACATTTCGTACGCATATATATAAACATCATCTTGCGGAACGGTTTACAGGAGTGAGTTCCTACTTGGGAACAACTGCCTGGACCTTCCGCATATAGAGTGAAATTATATTGGCGACATACAAGGTGAAAAATAAATCTTCTGAACAACAACTTGGAGTTTTCACTTGACTGTATTGGTAACCTCATCCCATGGTACAGAGAACCACCCTCCCTCCTTTACAATACTTAATATATAAAAAATAATTTTAAATCTTAGAAAAATATTTTCATAGCTGTTTTAATTTAAGTATTTATATAATTCAAGGGATAAGCTTTAAACGAACGGTTACCATGCTGGTCTGCAACGTAGAGGTCCTGGATTTGATTCCCGGGCCGGGAGAAATAAATGTAGGCCATACAGGTCTATATCTTGTTCTCTCGTGGGTTTGGGTGTAGTTTGTGGTTTTCTGTGTTCGTGTCCATGGCACTCACGATACAGTGTTTCCTTAGTGCCGGGCTATGAGTGTGTGTGCGTTATAATTAATGATATTAGAACTCTTCTATTTAAACGTAAAAAGTTATGGACTGATTTTATTCGTAGACTATTTAAACTTTTCTACTGAAAATTGTCATTTTGAAGATGAGACCTTATTCTAACAACGACATTATGTTGCGTATAAATACTTATCCGAAAAACTTACCTTTGCGTCAAGAGATGTACTTTCGTAAAATTTGTATAATTGTGTAAGATGCATCATGAGCGCATTCTGCTTTCCGTGTGGGCTATTAAAAATGCCCTTTGTAGCTCTTTCAAAGGGGTATAACCAATTGCCCTGAGAAGATTTTAAGTGCAATGAGGTAATGGTGTTTGACGATTTTCAATCAAATATTTAACAATGTTGTAATAATTGTGACAGCATATAAAACTTAAAATTATTCAATTTGTTGAAAATACCGATAATGTTAAATTTTTTATTGAATTGATATTCAATTATTTTTTGTGAAATTACTCCAGTAGTTTGTTATAATTATTACTACAAATATCGAACACTCAGAAGAAATTCCTTCGATCCGGCCGGAGTCGAACCGACGTCTTCTAGCATACCTTGCCAGACGCTATACCAACTAAGCCACGTCTCGTGTCTTGTCTTTGTATTTGGTTTTTCAACGACTTTTTTAGTCGTAGCGCCATCTATGAGAAATCTATGAAAGTTTTTTTACCCAGTTAGAATACCTTTGCAGCTACCGGCCCTTTTTTTTTTTTTGAGAGATGTCGCTATTCACTGTATTTTAAATTTTTATTGAATTTATTGTTTATTTTTATTATTATTATTATTATTATTATTACTTCACTCAGAGTATAGGGTTGGTAAATTATTATTTTAGTCGTACCTACAGTTTTTAACATAATTTAAAAATATTAATTCTCGTGCTATGTTGAAATAAACTTTGTTAAATGCTATTAATATTTTTTATACCAGCTTCGCGAATTAGTACCTTGATTATGCAACAGAAATGAAATGGTGAACAAATCCGAATTTGAGGCACTCTTGTGCAAACTACCACAAACAACACACGTCTACTATTTGATATCATATTTTAAGACTCTATACAACCTCCAATGGCTTTGGTTGACTCCGCATAACAGTAAAGTGTTGCATCCATCATTTTGGAAAAAAATATACAGTAAAATTTAGGATATACACTGATTACTACACGGTGTGAAACCACGATTCCCAAAAATTTTAACGATGGAAAAAACACAAACTTACCTTAAATTTTACAAGAAAACTGCTGTATTTAATTTACATATGCCTGTGATTTTGTTTTATATCAACTAAACTAAATAGAACACGTATACTATATGATATTATTTTTCAAATGGCTGTAATTTCGCTTGTAACAAAAAAATTCCGAAATAAAGTCGATGTCTCTGCCTCTGGACCAAAACCAAAATAATCCGTATTAGTACGGGAAAAAAATTAATTCGATCTAAGTTAGTATCGTTTCTTAAACATATTAATGGCGCGACGACCCACACTATGAAACGCGAGTGCACCGCGAGATGCGAATGTGTGTGTCCGTACATGGCATGCACATATACACACATCAAAAAAAGTTTGCGATCAATAGCATAAGCTCCTATAATTCTTTAAATTTAACTTTATCAAGAAAAAATCTATGTTGTATGCTTTCTTTAAATAGGAATACCCTGTTTGAAATTAAAATATAAAACTATTTTTTATTGTTTATTTTAAAAATTGAGCCATTAATCATAATGTAATAATGATAGAAATTTCATAGAAAGAAAAAGACTGTTTAATTAAACTTAAACAACAATTTATTATTGAAAGGTGTGAATTCAATATAAAATAACTCCTCCCCTGACTCGAATACATGCGAAGATCCTCCTGGGCATGCTGAGGATCAAGTTATCCAGCATTTCCTGGAGTAACCTATCCCATTCTTCAATAGCGGCTTCCCTGAGCTCTGGAACTGTTTGGGGACGTGGCTCATGGTTCCATACTGCTCGTTTAAGAGCATCCCACGCGTGCTCTATTGGGTTTAAGTCGGGCGAGCCGGCAGGCCAGTCTAATCGTGTGATATAGTATTCTTGAAGAGCAGCATTGACTCGTTGAGCTCGATGTACGGGCGCATTATCATCGACCAGTACAAATTGGTGCCCATGGTTTACTCGGAATGGTCTGACGATATCATCAATAGCAACTGCTTTGTACATGTCTGCTGTCATGAAGCCCCGATACGGGATCAAAGGCGTTCTAGCTCCAATCATAATGCCACCCCAAAAGGACACCGATTTTCCGCCTTGCTGAACTGTTCCAGTGGCAGTTCTTTGTCTTTCACGTTCGCCTGGTCTTCTCCAGACACGGACACGTCGGTTATCTGGATGAGTGCTGATTCGGGATTCGTCAACGAAGAGACAGTTTTGCCAAATGTTTTCGTCCTCACCTTCTTCATTTTGCCGAAGTCTAGCCCACTGCAATCTTCGTTGTTGACGTTGCCGGGAATTGAGCGGAGCTCGCCAAGACCTCCGTGCTCGTAATCCAGCCTGGTGCAAGCAATTGCGAACGGTCTGCGTGCTAACTTCAAGCCCAGAGGCGGCCCTGACTTCTGGTTTTATTTTAGTGGCGTTGATTGTTGGATCACGGACTGCCAGCAATCTAATATAGCGCTTTTGGGCAGCTGTCAAAACAGTTGGGCGACCGCTGCGGGGTCGGTCAGCTAAATTCCCTATTCCGTGATACCTCTGCAACGTAGCCACGACACAGGATTGGGATATAGCAAGTCTGCGTGCTATTACTCTCGTGGTGTATCCTTCTTCCCTCAAAGTTACTATTCTAGCTCGTAAAACCTCTGATAATCCTCTTGGCATTTTTTCAATCACAACTTTCCGCGAAAAATATCTTGAATCGCTTATAATTGACTAAATCAGATTTCTGAATGAGCGTAAGCTAGGACTGAAAGCCTTTTTATATGAAAAAACAATTGAACGGGGTCATTGTTTTATGTTCTAATTTATTTTTAAATATTTTAATTTTGTTCTAATTTATTTTTAATTTTTAAATCATGATATAATCTACAGTAACAAAAAAGATTTCAGTTTTTCGAAGTGATCGCAAACTTTTTTTGATGTGTGTATGTACAAGCCGCGCTGCTACGTTTGTGTGAAGTTACCATGCTTGTTTATAGTCTATTACCGTACTTATAATACATATATAATATGGTATAATATAGTCTTACCGAGAAGTAAATGGCGTTGACCAAAACCATAGTAGAAGACGGCGTTACGTCACTGTCTGCTAATAAATTATGAATTTTGCCCTTTGTTTGCTTCGATACCTAGAATCACACCATTAATGTCGTAAAGGTGGCAAGGCGAAATTAGAATTTATTTTATTGGATACCATGATGTTTTTCTTGCAATGATATTCGTATAAATACTTTCAAACAAGCCTCAGTCTGTAGCTCAATTGAGCGATGGCTCTGGAGTGGCAACAGACGCTAGTTTGAGTGATTGCACTACATTGAGTGATTACACATTGAAATTTTTATATTATTAATAATAGCAAAAATATTTTAGTGTTACCATGAACCCTGTATATATAATACACTCAGAAAAAAATGGCGGACAAAGTAACAATAAATACTTTGTTATTCATTTATTGTAACTGCAACAAAAATCAATATCGATATGGTATGGTGGTCTGTGAATTTTGTGCATCCATTAATTGAAAAACTAATAACATGACAACATTCGAGACACTATGCCCATTGTGTAGTCCAATAAGAATCCTCTAGATGGCATTAACCCATTTCATGTAAATATTCTGTCGCGGAGTGAGATTTTTCTTGGTATGGTAATCACCAATTAGGTCTTATTAGCAGTAGTAGTGCTCCTTGTGAAAGAGTTCGTCCAGGGATGTACCCTTAATGTGAGCATTACTATGTTCCGGTTTAGAAGGGTAAGGGTGCTGGTGAAATTACTGGTGACTTATCAACTTATGTCTCAGGGTGACCGGCGCAGTGGCAGTGCCCGTAAGATCTATGTGATTTAAAGCTCAGAGTGGCAATAAGTTGACTAAAGTTTACCTTTTTATGGTTTGATAAAAAAAAACTTTAAATCTATGCACTCAATGCTATGGAAATATTGTTGCGAGGACAAAGTCAGGCTTGACAATGTAAACATGTCTATGTCCGCTCTCAAAGTGTAAATCTTGATGGAACAATATGAACTGATTGACACAATAATTTGTAATTGTACTTCCAAAAATGCATCAAATCGTATTTTGGTCAATGTAGAAAAACACGAATAATATCCCGTCACGTCGTAAAATCAATTGCTTACTCAATAAAAGATATTATGAAACTTTACCCATGCATTAATTTTATCTACCGCCCTTTTCGGATTACTGAAATCAATTTTTTCTACACTTATACCAAAAACTTCTTTAGCCGTTTTCTTGAATTCCCTCTTGAGTTCATTATTTTTATTGATATATACACTACTACAGATGCCAATAGTCACACCTGTGGTGCTCTTCAAATCTTTTATAAGTTTTGTAAAATGCTTGTTTGCCTGTAATAGAATAAAAAACAACTTTTAAGTGTTCGTCAGGATGGCTGGATCAAACCAACCAACTTTTAAGACATAGAATATTGAATAGACGTTAAAATGTAGAATTTCCGCTCTATATGGAGAATCCAAAGAAACCAAAATGTTTTAGAAAACAATGAAAACATACAAAGGTGTTTTACTACACTACTCATTTGCGGAGAACGGGAATGCTGAAAACTTTCAAACATATGTTTGACTTACGGAAATGTTAGCGTATTATTAGCTATTTGTTGAATTTTAAACGTTGGCCATTTTATATATAATCGTTATATTATCAATTTGTCGCGAATATGATCGATAAGAAAATAAAAATGGCGACTGGATTGGCGACGGAAGAGGCTTTGGGGTATTGGCATGAGAGGTGGCAAGTAATTTTGATTCATATATGCATTGATAATAATCAAAGCTTACATGTGATTTGTGAGGTGTATTCGTGTGGTTATAGTGAAAATATGTCGTAAACCAATGTTTTATTTTATGAACTAAATTGTTTTCCTTATAGATAGTCATTCGATAGAAGTTAAGCCAGACGACTTTGGAGGGTGCCGAAGTGAGGTCCAGGAAATCGGGCGTAGCTGTATTTGCCTTATACATCGTTTACGCTGCTGTTGATGCAGATTTGTTCGATCAAACGACGTGGCTGTAGGGACTCATATTAAATATCCATGTTTGATTTCAAAATGCAATCAAAATTAACGAAGAGTGGAGGTAAATAATAACAATGAAATAGAACAATCATAAGAGCTGATGATCTTTAAGCATCTGAACTAATCAGTTCACCGAACGGAGATAAGAACCAGTTTATTAAACCAGTCCTTCGGTTTCGATTCTACAATGCCAGAAATTTATAGACACAGAGATATATATATAATACACAGAAATATACAGACAAAGGCTTACTTATATTTCCTCTCTTTTACTATCAGGTGTTAAAAAGAAATTAATCGTTATTCACGTTAATGTTTTAAATTTATAAGCCCCAAGAATGTATTTGAAAATGTTTTCAGTTTGATCTTACACTACAAACGCTTTGTTTCATCTCAAAGAGGCGCAATAACTTTAACAACAATTTCATTATTATATATACCGCAAATATTATAGTCAAAGTGTGAAATTGTTGTTAAAGTTATTAATAATATAACACCAACCTCAGATAGCTTATTGACTCCAATGGCAGCGAGTAGTTCTTTGCGGTTGGTACCTGAGGCCCCGATTACTAGTTTTCCCAGAGGCATTAACGCCGATACCGGCGAACACACCCCATTTGCAGTTGGATTTTGAAGGAATAACGACTAAAAAGAATACTAAATTTTAATTAAGTGTAATAGATATCCATAACAAACTGGTCAGTAATGTTTCACCACGTACGACCGATGTCGCCACGAAATATTGCTACCGTAACTATTTCTGTCGTCAAGCAGTAATATGGGCTTTACTGTGTTCCGGCTTAGAAAAGAGTAAAGGTACTGGTGAAATTACAAGCACATGGGACTTATGTCTCAGAGTGACAGGCGTAATGGCAGTGCCCCTAAGATTTTTGCGATTTAAAGCTCTGAGTGGCACTGCAACTGTCATGGATAGGCGTATCGCTTACCACCAGGCACACGACTTGTTCGTTCCGTCACTTGATCTTACAAAAAATAAACAAATTTAAGCCCACTCACAAATGCCTGCGTCATGCTCCATCCAGTAATTATTATACTCGTATTATTTTTTTATGAAATACCCCGTAATCAGTGAACGGTTTATATACAGGCGAGGGAAGCACTCCCAACGCTCAATGCCAGTCTATCACGAATATTAATTAAACTCAACAGGCAAGAGCTTCGCACTCTAACTGCCGCCCTAACAGGTCATGGTCCATACAATGAATACCTTTTCAATTTAGCTATCACAGACAGCCCTCTATGCAGAGCGTGCATGGAGGGGGACGAAACGGCTGCGCACATCCTACTACAGTGCTCTGGCGTGGCCAACTACAGGGCAAAGTACCTTGGAGTGCCAAGGTCGCTCCCCGAAGTGTTCAGCAAACCGAGGAGGCTGCTGAGATTCCTGGAGGAGCTTGGGTGGCACGAGTAGGACCCTGCACCTACCACACGCAAAATAGGCGCCTTGACGTCGAGTTGCGGACACCAGCCCATTACACCAAGTACCCCGTAACCAATCATCAGTGTATTGTTTTAGAATGAATGGTAGTGTAACTTGCTTTTCAGTGTGTAGAAAATATGTATGTGGTTAGAGATGAGTTTGACGGTATTGATTAAACCAGTTATAGTTTTTATGATACTGTGCTTATATGATTATTTTTATTGAATCGAAGTGTAACTGTTACCAACGATAAACGTATCCGTGTTGCCTAATAAATGAAATTTGATTGTATTATTATTTATAAAAATATTGTTATATATAATATAAGTATTATTATTATTACAAATATAATAAATAATTACAAAAGCAAACTGTCTTCTCAGTCTTCCATTGAGAGACAGATAATTATCCAAGTACTCCGCGCTGCTTTTTGTCTCCGAACTTGTTTCCCAGTAATATTTATCATCAGACCAATCTTCCTCGGTCGAACCCAGAGGTTCTTTAGTTTTTTTTGGTTTTTTTTTGTCCTTGCCATCTCTGCTGCTCGAATCTGCTGGTAGTAAAGCTAGAGATAAAGTGCCTGAAAACAATAAATCAGATTTCTGAATAATACTCGGTATGACATAAAACAAGACTTTATCCCATTTCTAATAATTTACAGATTATTATCTCCACTAAACCATCCCTGAGCGATTAGACTCTTCTTCTTCCTGTCCTTATCCCACGCTAGGTGGAGTCGGCACAACATGTATTTTTCTTCCACTCTCCCCTAACAGCCGTCATTTCCATACTTAACTGCCTCCGTGGCCGAACGGTTACCATACCGGAATACCACGCAGAGGTCCCAGGTTCGATTCCCCGGCCGGGAGAAATAATTGTATGGCCTACATTTATTTCTCTCGTCCATAGCACCCGCGACATAGGGTTTCCCTAGTGCTGGGCTGTGTTGAATGTGTGCGTTGTATAAGTTATTATACTCACACTTTTCTTAGCTATGTCATCTTTCACATAATCCATTCATCTTTTATTTAGCCTCCACATTCATACCTAACATTCGTCTCGTCACATGATATTCTTCCCTCCGCATGACACGTCCATACTGTAACTCATCTTTTCCGTCATTGGTGCCACTTTCAAACTTTCCCTGATGTACTTAGTCCATATCTTATCCTTTCTTGTTACTCCACACATATCCACCTCAACATTCGCATTTCCGATTCAAGCACAGGTCGTTCATCCTCCCTTTTCCTGATCCATACAGTACGACAGAGTGATTATACTGGAGTACTGGATTTCGCATTGGATAAATATTTCTCCGCTACTCTGCTATCATTTGTGAGTCGCTAACTGAAAGGAACCATGCTGACCTTATCATAACTAACGTAATCGACGTTTTTAGCAAAATTGACTTATTAACATATCTGGAATCAACGAAACGAGATCTACAATCCCCATAAGCGGTTTTTTAAGTATTTTATTTAGTTTAAGTTTTATTACATACATACATATTATCAATCATCAAGCAGCCTCTACGCCATCCGTCTTCGGATATAGGCCTCCTCCATATCTCTCCATTTAAGTCGCTCCCGTGCCACATACATCCAGTTCCTGCCCGCGAAAATTCTAATGTCATCCACCCAATGAAGTGGCGGACGGGCACTCCATAATCCTCTTTGTCCAGCGATCTGGATCCATCCTAGCTATGTGTCCTGTTCATTTCCATTACATCGTCTTAATTTTGCGTACAACGTCGCCGATTTTAGTTATCCGTCGAATACGCTCATTTGGTATTCGATCGAGCAATGTTATTCCTAACATTGCTCTTTCCATTGCCCTTTGGGTGATTCGTAAGTTCTTTGCGGACTTTTTCATTCACTCACAGACATTCTCTCTCTCTCTCTCTCTCTCTCTCACACACACACACACACACACACACACACACACACACACACACACAC